CGTACTATTTGCTGCGTATTGTAATATGAACGAAGCTGGTCTGCAATATCTACACCATTCATGTGATGGTTGTAGTCGTCGATTATCTTGGGGATTCTTAGTTTTTTTTTTGATTGAGAGCCAAACACTGCACGCACTTTTTTTGCATTGGTGCTTGTTTCTCTTGGCCGCCGTCTTTCACGTTCTATTTCCCATTGTTTACCGACAAGACCGTGAATTGTTGACAACATTGTGACTGGACCATTGTTCTGCCAAAACACAGCCAACACTCTATTTACCATAATGCCAGAACGTACATCCCAGTCGAGTCGCAAATTGTTTTCCACTTTCAGTTCCTTAGGGAACCCTAATGCTGTTTTTCGAACAGTGCCGCAGGCACCAATACCGATTTCCGAAGGTTTTGAAAAAGAGGAATGTTAGAAAAATAGTTATCCATGTAGATATTAAATGAAAACCGATGATATGGAAGCTGTGTAACAAGATGGTGGACCAGGCAACCAGTTTGGTTGAGCCCACCCACTTTTTCCACATTGCTTGGGGAGACACGTGATGTCGGCAAGAAAGTGAATGTGTATCCAGATTCACAAAGTAACAACATCTTAAATTCTTCTGGGACTGGTTTGTTCTTAATACGAATGGTGTGGATGCTTTTTTCAGAAAACCTTACCATCATTTCATCAACCGAGACATCTGAGGCTGGTATGTAAAGTTGTTTTGAGACATCTCGAATATGGGAAAGTAGTGGCTCTAACTTTTCAAAGTAATGATTAACAGCTACTACAGGCAGAGATATGCAGGTATCTCTTGATTTGTTCAAACCGTTTTAATGGCATTTGGTTTGAAATCTGATATATGGGGAGCTTCAGATCATTATTCCAGTACTGATCAAGTGAAGGCAGCCCAAAAATCCCCTGGTAAATAACTAGTGCGATCCAAGTAATAAGGTCCTTGTGGTCTATGTTTATTCAATCTCTTTCAGCAAGTTCAGCGCCTTTATTTAATGCGTATGAATTTGTATTCAAGACGATTTTATCAAGTAAAGTGTTCGTAAAAAAAAGCAAAAAAAGGTTAATCAGTTTTGAAAAACCGACATCATAATTTGGTGGCAAATTGACAAATGCCTGATGCAATTGTTTTGAATGAACCAATGGTTCAAAATTTGGAGGAGGTGGTGGCAACTTATATACACTTTTTGATTGTTTGTGGCTTTTCTTGCTACTATCGTCAGCGTCTTCATCCTCTTCATCGTCTGAACCTGGGTTGTTTAAAAAAACATTGGCGGGATGTCAGAACTGGCATGTATTCTTCTTCCTCTTCATCAGAAAATATCTCAGTACTTTCAGAAGGGGGCAAATTCGAAGACGAACTCGCCTTTGTCATAGTTGTAAAAAATTTTTTTTTCGATTTTTGATTTCTTATTGATGGATAATCACTGTACTACCGACATCATGTACGTACGTACAGTACTACTAACACGTGATTTGAAATCACAAGACGATCTGCAAAATCACATACTTTAATTCTAATTTAGAAAAGGGAGTATAATTGGTTAGTAAAGTCAGGTGTAATTGCGCAAAGTTGAAAAAAAAAGATTTTAGCAGGCAAATTTGCCCGCTGGATGGTTTAAGGGATAGCGTGTAAAATTATTACTGTACCTCGTATAGCAAATACGCTTCAACAAGTTATTAATGTTGACAACATAATCCCAAATATAGAAAACGAGCGATTTCCTATAATTGTAGTACCGAATTTAGTTAGAAATTATCGTGTGTCGAATTATGTCTTTTTTAAAAATACATTGCAAATGTTAAATTGCCAAGTTATGTATGCTGATAAAATATTTGGCAAATTTATAAATTGACACGCGTTAGGAGTAAATATATCATCTCATTTTCGAATAAGAGAGTTGCATCCCAATATAAACACCCATAATTTATTTTTTATAACATTGTAAGCTTTGCTATATATCGCTAAAAATTTCTACCCGTCAGTAATATATCGAGAACGTTTTTTTAAAATTCGAAAACAATGCAAGCATCTATCGAGAAGCGTAAAAATGAAAATTCTAACTCTATTAGCATGTCCCAAGAGAAACCAAACAAAAAGTTATCACGCCATGCTCGTCATAATAAAAAACGTAAGCTTGAAAAAGAACAAAATTCGACCTTGTCAACAGATTATAATATGGGGCTGAGTCAATAGAAACCAAGCAAATTTTTTTAATGCTTTTTTTTT